CTTGTCTGAATACCAAGCTTCCAAGAATTCTCTTGCATTTTTGGATTTAGCTTGGTCTAAAATTAGGGATTCATATCCCAAGAAAGCTCTTCTTTTGACTGCAGTCATTTAGACCCAATTACAATCATAATGGCTCTTTTGAAATTAATCACACTAAGAAGGTATCAAATCAAATCAAATGTTTATTAGTCATAGGCCAGCATATACTATGATGTTTTCTCTCTTGAGCACATTGCTCCCCTTCTTCTATCCCTGCTTGGCAGTCCTTCCCAACCTAGTGTTCCCTCGGGCTCTGCTAACAGGGAATTCTAGGAGTTGTGTTCCAACATATCTGAACAGCACCAGTTCTCAACAGTTTGAGAATGGCTTCTATACAGCAATAAAATGCTCAGGTTGTGTTCCGGTCACATATCCCCCAACTTTAGTAGAATGCAGCATCACAAAGGCTGACCTGTCCCCTGAAAGACCCAAGCAGCACTGGGCCAAATGGAACAAATCTATAAATACTCCTAAATATCAGGGATGCCTTGATTTCGCTACAAATGTCACCTGGAATTATGGATGATCAGTGAGAAGCTCCGATTTAATGAGCTTTCTTAATTTAAACTGGATAGCACCACTAAAATAAACACTGTGGAGTGTTTCAAGATTTCTCCAAAGAGGATGAGTAGGATATAAAATTATAAAGGCAGTTCAATTTAAGCAAAGGGATTCAAGCTGATACAATATATATATATACATACATACATACACACACACACACACACACACACACACACAAGGTTCACATCTGAACTGACAATTACTGTCCAAGAAAGGAATAAGGGTATCTGTGGATAGTTAATTAAAATGCCCATCCAGTATGCAAAAGTGAATTCCATACCAGGAAAGAAACCTGCTATCAATAAAATGCCTTTTTGTACCTATACGGTAAACCACATTGGAAATATTGTGTACAGTTCTGGTCACTGCATCACAAACTGATACTGTAATGAAGAGCTGGAACAGAAGCAGAAAAGGGGCAAATAAAGAATTAGGAGACTAGAGTCTTATTCAGGAGGAAAAAAACTACAGTCTCTGAGATTTTTTGAAAAATTTCTTGAAAAAGACTGGGTTACAATAGAGGTGTATTAAAATCATGTATGCCATGGAAAATGTAGAAGCAGACAGGTTTTTCTTCCTCTTTCACAGTACTAATCTTCAGGATCATTTACTGAAGCCAAACTTAGGAAGAATTAGATTCAATTAAAAAAAGAACTATTTTTATAAAACAAAGTTAAACTATAAAATTTGCTCCCATACAGTGTGATGATGGCTACCAAAATAGGTCCCCCTTTAAGGGGACAAGAGAAATCCACAGAGGAAATGGCTATTCATGGCAGCTGGCCTTGATGGCTACATATAAAATCCAGAAGGAGAGTTATGTCCTAAACTGCAACTGCTAAAATGCAGTGGTACCAGAAGACTATTATCCTCAAATCCTGCTTGAGCTCCAGAATATATCTGGACAGTCACTTTGCAGTACAGAATGCTGTGTCATATTGGTCTCTAGTTGATTCACCAGCACTTTTATGCTTGCATGCAAATTGTCTACATACACCAACAAATTCAATATCATCTTCACTTTCTTCCTGTTGAGAAGAATTCTCAGCCTCTTTAGAAGACACAAGGCACTCCATTGTCTGAAACCAAAAGAAAAATAACTTGTTTAAGGTTACCAACTATCTAAGAATGCAAAAATTAAATCCATGGTTTTGTTTCTTACTGCAACTAATGTTATACTCCCTGGTAAGTATTTCACTTTTTAAACTGATTACAATGAGTATGTTATACAAGACCTATGGTATCTACACACAATTAGCATTGGAAACTGATAACAGGGGAACATGCTACATGCTAACCCTAAAAGAAAGATACCAAAGACCCTCTTTATTTCACTTACTGATAATAGCATAAAGTGTCCATACCATTTCAGGATTCACCCTTTTATCAGGTCAGAGGTAAGGTAGGAAATCTGTTTGAAAAGTTCTCTAAAACCTGAAGTTGGCATGCTTCCACTAGCTTACTTGGTCCATAAAAGATAAAGTATAAATGTTATTTTAAGTGCAGGGCCTGACATCAAAATAAATAACCAGATAGAAGTAGAACAGCAAAGTCAAGCCATAGTGACTCAAGAAAAACTGTGCTAAAGAATGGAGAGTTCCAAGGAGTGAGAGGGAAGGAACCTTAGGGCTACTACACCGTTTCCTTACCTACAAGGACCCACCAGGGTTAGTGGAATAAGAGCAGTAAAATTCGAAATGGCTATGCAAGGCCTCCATTCGCTTCACCGAAAGCACCTGTCAAGAATAAACAGGAATAGAGTAATACGAGAACAGAAACTGTGAGAGGGAAAAATAGGGCTGGATGACAACACGCACCCCAAACCAGGGGGTGAGGGCGATTACTTAGAAACTGCTGCAGCGCGCACAACGCTCACAATCAAACCACGTGAGGACGACGGTGATGTTGAAAGTACCTTGCATCGCCTCCAGCCAAGAACCCAGCTAGCCAAGCCAAGCCCTGCCCAGCTCGTATCGCTGGACAGAAACCTCTGCGACTCGGCAGGAAACGAAAGCGAAGATCAACCGTCAGCCCGACGAATCTCTGCCAAACCCGCCCGCGCCCTCCTCTCCCTTTGCAAACATCTATTCGAGACGCAACTCGCACGTGACCACTCCACCCCGCGCGCGCGGCTTTCGGCTTCCTCCGCTTCAAACTTCGAGGGTGACGCTTCCTCGCCCCGGCCTGCTGGGAAATGTAGTTTCATGGCTACCCGCGGGCGCTCCCTGTCGGGCTCAAGGAATTAATGCAACTCCTTAGGAATCTTTAGCGACTGCCTTCCTCTTGCCGGGTCATCGCGCCAAAGTGGAAGGTGGACTGAAGGTGGACTGCACTACAGCTTTTCGCATCGCTGGTGTGCTGAGAACTGTTGTTCATCGAGTCTACAGGATGCCAAGATATTTTGTTCCATAGGTTTTCATGAATGAAAAGCTGGCTGAGTTCAACTACAGCGGAAGGGGTGGCAGGTGAGAGAATCAGCTCTCTAGAAGGGGCTGGGAGACTCCTAAAAGGAGTACTTTAGGATAGAGCTGGACAAAGCCATGTACCTGGGTCACACAGGCCAAAGGATGGTAGTTCATCCCTATTAATGGATAAGCCACAATCATCTACCTAGGCGTCCTTCCTAAGGCTGAGAGGGAGAGACTGGCCCAAGGTCATCCAGCTGGCTTTGTGCCTCAAGGCATCCTGGTTTCTAGCCTGGTGCCTTAGCCACTACACCAGACTGGCCCTCTTGTATCATATGCTTAATCATAAACCTTGGTTGAGAAATCATAATGGCTGGTCCACAAAACATGCAAAGCCAAAACAAAACTATGTAGGACTATGTGGCATGTTGTTTAAACCCAGGTATTATGTAATTTGGTTGGTTTGGCTACAGTAATGAATGAATCCAGCTACTGAATTGTAAACCAAGCTTAGTAGTCTAACATGAGTGTGAACCTAGGCAGTTGTGGTTTATTCAATAAACTGTACAGGTAAAACATATGTTTGGTGTAGTGGTTAAGGCACCAGGCTAGAAACCAGGAGACTGTGAGTTCTAGTCCTGCCTTGGGTACAAAGCCAGCTGGGTGACCTTGGGCCAGTCACTCTCTCTCAGCCCTAGGAAGTAACATTAATCTTAGTATAAGAAATAACAATTCAATAAATACTTTCAACCAATCAGAACTGCATTAATTGCACTTTTAAATCTGTCCAATAATTGGAGTTCTCTGACCAATATAAAGATACATTTCTAAATATTCAGTGCAATAAAGTGTTAATGAAAATAGCACAATAGCAAGGATGAAATCAGCAAAAGGAATAAAAACAATGCAACATACAAAATCACAGCAGTTTAAGGCTTTGATCAGTATTTCTTAACAGGGTTGCAGTTACAGCATTTTAAAAGTTTGCCATTTGAATACCTTGAATATGCTGAAGAGCCAAAGTATTTACCCCAAGAATAAACAAGAACAAACAGCTCTCTAAAATCCACTCTTCTTGCAGAATACAAATACAGTTGCCATGTTTCCAGACTATCCCTCCACAGGCCTGTCATCCTTACAATATACGTCTTTTGTCCCTCTGAGGCTAATAGCAGCCCTGATCCAAATGTGAGTGGTGACTGTCTGTTTTCAGACAAAAATCCAGACACAGTCCAACATAATATCTAATCTTGGCTTGTCTGTTGCTGCATCCATTCCAAATAACTGCTTGGGCCTTGTCTCTTAACTTGCCACACGCTGTGCTGTAACAGGAACAAAAAGCGAATCCACTCTTTTTCATCTCTCCACAACTGCACCCATCTGGAATGTGGTCGCAGAAGCTGATATGAAATGCTTACCTGTAAATATTTTTTCTGTCTTCCACCAGGATAGCGCACATTAATGAAAGCACTTATTACTTCCTGCTCTAGGAAATAAGTCTAGTCTATAAAATGTGTATGTTTTCTACTACATAAATAAAGTATTTTGCTTGCTAGAAATGACAACGTGAGGTTAAATAAGACCATTATTTATTTATAAGTAGTTTCTCAGTACAGGAGTGTTTGCTGTTTGAAGACGGAATTGATCGTACATCATCTGTTTTAGAAGGTAAGATAATGACTGCAATTATACAACACATTAGCCCTCCTTAGGCAGTTGCGCCAGCCCTGCTCCGCCCTCTACTGAGGGCAACCAATATCTAATCCAATGAATATTTCTTCTCATTCCCTCAGCTGCCTGTTTTTGTAGCCCATGAGAACAGTCCCATTTTTCATGCAAAAGATTTCTCACAATATCTATCTATCTATCTATCTATCTATCTATCTATCTATCTATCTATCTATCTATCTATCTATCTATCTAATCATTATGCCCTCAACTTCTTGCACACTCCTGGTAGCTTGCAACAATTAAACCATACAATATAAGTAAAATGTTCACAATAATAAATCAAATATACCTTCAACCCAAGCAACAATTAATACAGACCATTAATAATAAATACATTTATAAAAAGCAATATAATGACAAAAATGACAAAATTGCACATAGTGTACCATCAATATGCAAAAGGCCTCCAGAAGAGGTCAGTTTTGACTGCTTCTGGAGGGCTGTCCCCAAGGCGATCAACAGAGCTTCCACATAAAGGCTGTTCTAGAGTATTGGACCCATAATAGAAACACATTGACTGCCTTCAATTTTCTTCACGTCATGGAAATGGAGCACCACCAGCAACTTCTCCTAGGAAGGTCTCCTTGAACGGGGTGACTCAGGTTGCTACAGAAAGTCCTGCAGGGACTTCAGCATCAAGTATTACATACATATATCTAAGTCAGAATTAGTCCTTTGCATTGCATCCAGAAAATCGATAACCAGTGTAGAGGCTGCAAAATAGGAGTAATAGGAACATGATGATGAACAGTGAACAGGAGGGCAGCTGCAATGATGCCCCCATAACTTCCCCCCATCTGGATATAGGTTCGGCATTTTTTTCCATCTGGAAACAGTGTTAGTGTGTTTGAAATACAACTGTGTACAAATTATGAACATGTTATTGCTAAAATGTATAAACTTTTATTGACATTTGAAACAAGAATAAGTGAAAGAGTGTATGATAAAATGGGCTAAAAGTTTTGGTTACAATATACAAATGGAACAGTGGGAGAATATGTGGTTGAAAGGACTGAAATTCTCATTATGTTAAAATCTTAAAGTGAATTTTTATAAAATGATGTATTGTTGGTATATGTCACTGGAAAAATTGTCTAGAATGTATAAAGGTACCTTAAATTTATGTTGGAAATGTAAACAACAAGAGGGGACATTTTATCATGCTTGGTGGACATGCAAAAAAGCCAGAAAATTTTGGACTTAATTACATATACTAATGCAGAAGATGTTAAAGATTAATATACAATTGAAACCAGAGGTTTTTCTTTTGGGACTGAGTGATAAACAGTTGGAAAAAAGTCATGGAACTTTGTTTTTATACGTGATAACTGCAGCAAGATTATTATAGGCACAAAGATGGAAAGATTCAACATTACCCACAATGGTGGAATGGATGGTGAAGATGATGGAACTTGCTGAGATGGCCAAACTGACAGCTTTGATCAGAGAAAATACATCATCTAACTTTAATGCAGACTGGAAACCCCTTATAGACTTTTTGGATGAAACAGAAAAAAATGAAATTATGATATATGGTTTTGATGATTAGAAAAAAAATAGGTTATAGAAAAAATATAAGTCATGCTGTAACCATAGAGTTAGAGGTTACTTTACATCTATACTTATAACTGCTGTAAAGAAAATTGGAAACTACTTCTTTATATATATATTTCTTTTTTTCTGCACTTTTGGCTTTGTTTTTTTCTTCTTTATTTTCTTTATTCCAAATACAGTGGTACCTCTAGTTACGAACTTAATCCGTTCCGTGACTCTGGTTGCAACTCGAGTTGGTTGCACCTCGAGT